AAAAACGTTTACAAAAATTCTCGTCTGTTTTAGGAAAGTTCCGATGCTTCTCATCGTTCACAAATCTTGGTGCCAAGCATGCAAAAGTGAGTTCATTCATTCTACGATTCGCTTCACTCCAAAAATATCGCAAAGGAGCTGAAGACTTTACTATTTTATTATTGTAGTTTTGAAATCGTATTTCTCGAAATCAGAAGAGATTGTTGAACTTAGTTCAAAGTTTGTGATGGTGAACATACAGGTATATAAATTTTGGAAAGTAAAGCAGATTAATTTTACACTTTCTATAAAGAGTTTTCATCCTATTCGATGAAACATCGTATTTCAAACCATTTTACAATTGTGGCATCAAATAAAGGACTAAAACTGATTTGTTTTTATAGGATGACCAGGAGAAACTTGGTGAAGAGTTTGATGTGGACGGAGCCTATGTTCCACGATTGTATTTCTTTGGTATGAATTGTAACTGTTGAAAACGATTTATGAATGCATCTATTTTGATGTGGTGAATCAATGCTGTAATACCTTACTCTATTATCTTACTCGCTCGATTCTTTCAGATCCACGAAACGGAAAGATTATGGAGGAGTTTCACAACGAAAGTCCGGATTATAAAGATGATTTCATCTATTCGTACGGGAATGCTAAACAAGGTAACTAACTTACGTTTTAGTCGATGAATTTCAAAGACAATTGTTGGTTCTACGCGCCAATTCTTCTTCAATGAGACTTATCTTAGTCATTACCAATTACAATAGTTATTTCGACAATGAAAAAGGTTTTGGAAAAGCAGGAAGCTGTTGAGAACGATCGAAGCAAAGGTGAGGATTTGGAAATCCAGTTATGAAACATCGTGAAGCAATTTGACGTTGCAATGCATTTGACGTTTCAGGTTTTGGAGGGAAAATTGATTGGACGTCTTTTAACGACAGTGTGGAGTTAGCTGAGGAGGTGTAAGTTATTTCAAACAAGTTTTACAACTCTCTGGACAAGTTCTCTGAGCCTCAACCTTGCTTCTTTCATCTTCTCTGCAATGTTTACCACCTCACATATTCTTCCGAATTCTGATCTCTTCATTCCATGATATTTCTGACCAGCTCTCCTTCATCTCTTCTTATTACGTGTCCATATCATCTCAACCTTGCTTCCCTCATCTTCTCTGCACTGTCTACCACCTCACATCTTCTTCTGATCTCTGTCTCTGACCAGCTCTCCTTCATCGGACCGGTCTAGTCTTACTTTCCTTGTGTTCTCTACGATGAAAACAATTCAATGTCCTTGTATCTAAATGATGTTATCTTTTCTAGCAACAAACCAATCATGTTAATCTTCCATCGAAGCTGGTGTCAGTTCAGTCGAAGTAAACATACCACGCTTACTTTTATTTGAAAATTTAGAACTAGTATTTTATTGGATACTGTAATTTACACCACTTACTATCCTTTCCAAGACTTGAAAGAAGAATTCGCGATGTCTCAAGACTTATCGGAAATAAGCAAGCATTTTGTGATGGTCAATGTTCAGGTGAGATATTTGATCGACTGGGATAACAGAAGTTGTAAAATCATAAGTATTTGTTTGCAACAAAAAACTAAATAATCTGTCATCAATTCAGGATGATGAAATACCAAATGAAGAGAAGTTCAATGTGGATGGAACATACGTCCCAAAGATTCTGTTCTTAGGTAAATTTAAGCTATTCAGATGCATGTAGTATTACTCAACCGAAAAACGTGTCAAACATTCTCTGCCACTGATTTCGTTAGATTCGCATGGAAATGTTGATAAAGAACTGATGAATGAAAACAGACGTGAAAAGAGTTCAAAATACTTTTATCAATATGGCATAGACGGTATTGATACGCGACTCATTTGTGCTTTAAACCCCTACGTGAATAAAAATACTAGCAACCAGCTTTTATTTTCTAGTTGTGGCTTCCATGAAGTTAGCTTTAGAGAAACAGCCTCCGCCATCACTCGACAGAGGTACAGACAAACTACAATCATATCTTTCACGTTATTTAGTCGTATTAACGGATGCAAAGCATCTAAAAACATTATTTCCTTAGGATTTGGAATAGACTATGAATGGATGACAATGGAGAACGCACTCAGCGAAGCTGCAAGATCGTAAGTAACAACAACAGTTTTTCCCCTGCTCGTTCAACCAGATCTTAGATGCCCAACTGTATCACCTTTTTCTCAAATCGCAGAGGGAAACCAATATTTCTGATCATTCACAAATCATGGTGTGGAGCTTGTAACTACTTGAAAGGCATTTTCAACTCGTCCAAAGAACTTCCCAAATATGCCCAAGATTTCGTCATGGTAAATCTTGAGGTATGTATAAGATCTTACCTTTTCAAAAGTTCTAGGAATAGAGCTTAATTGCTCAGTGGTTATAATAGCCTTGATATTTTCAAATGCACCTTAAAAGAGCTTAATTCACGGATATGCAAGAACAAGGCATGCAGGTTATTAAAAAATAAAACATGAACAAAAATCAACAATTTTTTTTGACCTGTGGATTAGGATGAAGAGGAACCAGAAGGGAATCGATTTGACATCGATGGCAAATATTATCCTAGGGTATTCATATTAGGTAGGAACATTTCTACACCGTTAATGCACTTTGTAGAACACTTGATATAACGTGTTAAAGATCTTCTTACCAAAAATATTATTCATTTTAATCATCTGATCATTTTAGACCCAACTGGCGTTGTTCAACGCGATCTTCACAACATGGACCCTGAATTTATTCAATTCAAATTTTCTTACAACACTGAAAGGTCAAGTAAGTTATTCTTGGATAAAATTTGATCAGTCGTGAACATGCAATAACTAGGGCATGCAAGACATTAATAAAACTTGTCGTTTTACAGTTATTCGTGTGATGAATGATGCATTAGCGAGATTCAGGAAGGTTCAAACATCAGATGATGTTGGACACGGTAAAAATACATAGCTATCTGTTGGTAATCTTGGCAAAACTTCATAATATTGGCAAGAGTTTACACGAATGAAAAAGCTCTTTAAAACTACTATAAACATTGAAGTGTAAGTCGCAGTTAACCGGGCTCTATTTGTCGGTTTTATGTAATTAGGTTTTGGTGAAAATATCGAATGGGTTGGCTACAAAGAAGGTGTCGAATTATCCAAGCAAAGGTAACTGAAAAATATCAACAATTTTATGATAGAACAAACTTTGTTTGTGAATGCTCTAAGGCTTCTTTTGGACATCATTCAACCAAAATTCCCTCTCTTCTTGTTTTCTATAGCAACAAGCCAATGATGTTGATTCTTCATAAGACTTGGTGCAGTGCTTGCAAAGGTAAACAGTTTAAAATCATCTCTGGTAGTGCAAATAATCCTTTATTTTTACCTTCGCCGATAAAATTGACTCAAATGGATCTTGTAATATACTCAGCACTCAAGAAAAAGGTGGCCGCTTCCAAAGAATTTGCTGATTTGAGTAAAAAATTTGTAATGGTGAACTCTGAGGTAAGATTTACGTTGTCAACTTATGTTCAGGTAGAGTTATTCTGCTCACTTTAGTCCTAAGTTGAATTGAGTTTATCTCGTCTGTATGGTTGTGGAAATTGAACACAATCCATGTATATCACAGCGAGAATTACTTATTTTTATTTTTAATCTGTCAGGATGACGAAGAACCAGATGACGAACTGTTTGATATTGATGGAAGTTATGTACCTAGGACCTACTTTATTGGTATGATTGATAAACTGATAAACATATTTGTGGGGATTTGCCATGATTTTGTTTGCTATCAATCATCGTAAGCTGCACAACAGATGATTGTCAGCAATTCTCAGCTAAACTACATGGACGTTTATACTTGATATTTTTATAGATCCGTCTGGGGAAACAATGGTTGATATTTATAATTCAGAAAGCATATACAAAGAGAATAAATACTATTATTGGGACGCCATAACAAGTAAGTCTTATCCACGTTTAATTTCTGTTCGTATTTCAAAAGATTTCAGAAGACATATTTGAAGATAAACCAGTCTTAAAATCGATAAAAAAAACTTATTCTCGAATGATAAGTCTTAACTATTGTCCTTTTTCAATAACTTCTAGTGGTGAAATCGATGGAAAAAGCTCTGGATAAATTAAAGATGGGTTCTTCTCAACGTGACGAATTATAATCAACCTTTTATCCGAATAAAGATATTCTAAATATCTAATTAAATCCGTCGCATTATTTATAATAACAAGGCATGTTTAAATATAGTTGAAAATGGAAAAGCAAAAACGTTCGCACTTTTTAATATTTTAAATATCTTGACAAGTATGCACGAGTCTTTTTTTTCAGTAATCATAAGGCCTTTACATGTAGATGCAAAAATAATTTTCAATAAATATAATAAATGTACTTAAAACAAATATTGATCTGGGTCTGAAAGTTGGTATGACGTAGTCAAAACTGTAACAAAAACGACGTTGACGCTTTGTCAAGGACAAAATGTAAACAAAGTGTCAGTCATTTCAAAAGGATGCCAGGTTTGCAAAATGGTCGTTGCTTGGCATTTTCAATTAGCAATATATGTAGACGTAACAATCATCACAACGAGAATAAGTAATTTTTAATCATAACTTGGGACTGAGACAAACATTGTCTGAAGGTATAGAATATTATACGCAAGTTATCGAGGTTTAAATGCGGTCAGCCGTTCTCAACACATTTGGAATATGCTGAGACGTAATACTAAACGATTATGCAAGGTTGCAGCATGCTTGGCGACCGTGGCCGTGGTTTGCTATGTGTTTGGGAAATGCGAAGACTATATGCCTATTGTTCTTAGGAAAATCGATGGATTTTCCGAGCAAGTTAATCAGCTTGTACCGCGAATGCATACGATGTTGAAATCCAGTTTAAATGACACGACTGGGGCAGCCTTTTGGAAGAAGAATCGTTTGGCTTTGGAGAGCGGCTCATATTTGACCAGAAAAGATCAAACACCAGCACAGACTTCGAATGGACAAAACTACAATGAAATTATCACAAAACGTGTACGAAAGAGTCAAAATAAACAACTGGAAGCTCAAAGAGTTAGTTTCTCGATGAGCCAATCAGATTTCATCAAGGTGTTTGACAAGCTATGCCCGAAGACAAAGTGTTGAAGCCGAGAAAAGACAAATTCTCTTTGAGAAACGTTTAATAAATTTAACTAGAATTCTCATGGAAGTACATCGAAGAGAACACGCGGGTAGTTCTGTGAGCAAAGGTCATCAGGAGGAAGGTAAACATGTGAATAATCCAATTTATTCTCGTTATAAGAACGAGAATTTAACGGCTAAAAATGTATGGAATGGCAAAGAAAATAAGAATTACAAAACAGATTCAGCCGTACAGAAAGACTTTGCTCAGTTGAAAACTTCTATGCCTTCAAAGAAAATGAAAATACAATCAACTATGGCTGCCGAAGAGTTGCCTGAAAATCTTCACAAAACGGAAACGCCAATGACAAGGTCGAATGATGTGACTTTTGGAAGTATAAAACAACTCACCCACGTAAAAACAACGCCAACAAAGCGGCGTTCTGTATTAACGTCTCCTTCGTTTACAAAAGGCGTTGAGAGACAAAATACAAGCGTAGAATTGACTGGAAACATTTTGAAGAAATTTGCCATGCATAATAAATCTTTACTGTCGACCACAGGTAGTTCAAGTAGTTTGCTTACACGAAGAAAAAAGACAAACTCAAGAGGGAACTTTTCAACTGAAAGCAAAACAGAAATATCGTTTTCATTCAAACAAAAAACAGCATCTAAACTCTTAGGCCGAAACACGACAGGAAAAACGACAGAAACTATGAAGAATGTATCTTCTTTTAAACAACAGGAGGAACGTTTTGTAGATGAAAGCACTTTACGTCGTCGTGCAGACATGTTTTTACGCAAAATAAAAGACTTCGGAATGACCTACAGCGAAAGCTTTTTCCATTACAAACGTCAACAAAATTCAGCCATCTTTTACCGAGAGGTGCTACCAGTCTCGGGAAGTAAAGGAAGATTGACAGTTTTCCTGTTGCATGATTCTGATCAGGATTCCAGGATCTGGTTAAGCACCGGAACTCTTTACTCCCTCGGAATACAGGGACACAGGGTGGTTGCGTTAGACCTACCTGGATATGGTAAATCAACGAATATATCAGAGCCTGGCACTAGTTTGGAAAGGCTGAAATTGCTTGCGTCCTTTATGTTCACCGTTTCCCCGAAAGGTCCCAGAGTTCTCGTGTCCGCCGGAGAAAGTGGCTTGTATTCGGTTCCCATAGTGATATCCGCGTCAGTCATGCTAAAGGGCGTGGTCTTTGTTTCGACAGCCCATACGGGGAAGTTCCCTGCTTCGAACTACGAGAATGTTCACCTACCGGCGTTAGTGATCCACGGAGAGAATGACAATTCAGCATTTCTCAAGGTGTTTCTAGAGAGCATGAAGCATTTGTCTGAGGCGGAAAGGATTTCCTTGGAGCAATCTGGTCGCTATTGTTACATCGAGAAACCCGATCATTTTCATCGATTACTGAATAAGTTTCTTTTGAAAATCTCGCCGGAAAGAAAAAAACACTCAAACAAATCTCGTTTACGAAGATCATAGTTATTTTTGCTGAGTCTATAAAAAACACGAAACAGAAATTGTAAGAGCTCTCCTATGTCAACATATGGTTGAGAAAATGCAGAACACAAGAGCAGAAAGTATTTCAGCTCCTCTTCAGGAAGGAACACAAGTCATAACCCCCAAAAAATCGCTAAACACTCCGGCTGTGAATAGAATTACCCGTAAATTTGTATTAAGAATCGAATCAAATTATTTCAGTCAAAGAGTTTGTAAACCTGATATTTTGAGTTGAAATAGGAAGGGTATTTTGTAAAGCTTGATATGATAAAACTGCTCATTGTTGCTATACACCAAGAAAGGAAATAATTAAACCCACTATATAAGACGTATATCAACAGTCTTTAAAGTTCCGCTTTTGAATTTTTCAGTTTCAAAGTTTGAAGCATCATGCAAGGCTGTGGCCCGACCAGGAAGATTACAAAGTCTTCTAGTTCCTAGTCCACGTTCGCCAAATATTTTCAAGGTGTTTTCACGACAAAAACGTCAATATTCGTACGGAAGAGCCAAATCTACTTACGTATGTATAACGTGCAGCGGAATTTCTTTGGAAAAATTAGGAACACCGCGTTGAAGGGTGTCACGACAAATAGGGTCTGCCGTCAACGGAATTGCGTACGCATGCACCCCACAAATTAGCAGGAAATTATAATAAAATATTACGAAAACCTTGGCTTTGTAAGTCGATTCGGGCGAATTAAAAACTAATATAACTTTATACATGATTGATTTACACAAAATTGCTTCAAGTGATATCATTGTTGAAAAATCTACGCTCACAAATTCACAAGATTCCAAGGTGTCCTCGTGAACATGAAGATGTGTCCATAATGCAATTATGGCTGATAAAATCGGTTTATACCAACTGCCTGAATGTGAAAAAGGAGTTATCTTTTTGACAAAAGGATTTTTCTTGCATTTCAGGCCGATGATGTGAACAAATTTGGTAAAACAATAGGGATATATTTGAAGAGATATTTACTGGCGGCTATCAATGAAATAATTGAATTGTGTTTCATAGTTACGTATCACGTTTTGTAGGCAATGCAAGATGGGAAAATATAGTTAGTACGCAATAGGCAAATATGTGCCTGAAGTAACCGCAAGTATTTGAAGGGCCACTTGAGGAAGTTGAGATTACGTTGATAGTTTGCAGACTCGCGTCTGCATGCAATATCGCTCAAGCTCTATACACCTTCAAGGAATCGATCGTGTTTTACCAAACTTCGAATGACACACACACGAGATCTTCCTACGTTTCCACGTGGAATGACAAAAAATGACCGTCGAGTGTTTCCCCACATGCAAAGACACGAGTATAGCATCCTGTTTATTAAATTTCTATACTTCTCAAGCACTTGACCCTGACCCGCAGAAGTTCGACAGCGCGCCGGGTCCTTCATGCAAAACGTTCGTGAATGGCTCGTTTTACACGCTGTGGACAAACCAATCATAACTTCGGTCGATGAAATAAAAAAAATATGAAGAACTGCATGCAAGCATCCTTATTTCTGTCATTTCGTTCGCTGTGCGATCAATAAGCACATAACCAGCGTTGGAGGACGTTGCACAAACATTGTTTTGAAAGTTTTCTCAACCGACCATTTTGACACCTTATTTTTCATATTGACGTGCACTTTTAGCAAGAATTTGGCAATACTTATCCTTGTTATATAGGATCGTTATCAAGTGAAAGACTTGGAAACCTTTTGCTAATATCCACCGGCCAATATTTAACATCATCAATCATTGAGTTAAATGACTTCTGGGCGATGATAAAGAGTTATTAAACTCATCACAACCTTGGCTTAAATTGCAAGTTTCTTGTATATCAACATTAGTCATATCAAGCAATCCTTCGTATATATAAATACATGAAAGAGCATATCTGTTTTTTTCACAGTAAACTCGATTTATCTCTCTGGATAATTATTTATAACAAATTTTAAAGGATAACTATTTTCTATTGCGAATAACGTTTCCTCTCTAAGCAATCTTTGAAGACAGCTTGTGTTCAACAAACGTGATGTACTGACGTAGCACAAAGCTTTTATTTCTGTTTTCTCATCACGTTTTCCTTTTTCATTTCATGCGAGTGATGTTAATTTCTTTGGGATGCTTATATAGCGCTTGTCTCAAAGGGAGAACTGAGATATTCCAAAGTTCGTATGAATAGTTAATTTATGGCTTGCAATCGTAGTCAAAACAACCTTATTTTAGACTCTTTGTTTCATATTTAAAGTTTTAGCATAGGACCTCTTCCCAAACTGAATTTGCCAATAATAAAACTACACAGACTAAAAGTCTCCTCCCAAGGAAAACTACAGCAAGAAAACCAGTAATTCTATAAGATTTAATCATTTGTAGAGCTTTACAAGGGAGTAAAAATAATCGTTACGTTTTGGACACAGAAGGGGATTAATATATTTAATTAATGTATTTTCTTTTGTGGACAAATAACGGTTTGATGTGACGGAAAACAACACTTCGGACATCATGAGTTTCCTGGTACACACAAATCATTATTGAGATGAAGTATTTTCAAAAGAATGTTCGAAATCTTAGTTATTTCAATGTTTAAATTCCTTTTAAAAAAGCCTATTTTACTAATCGGTTCAAGTATAAACGTCATGTAGCCAAAAGTTTATGTAAATATCAAAATATGATGCTATAAAACGAGCTGTGTTGCAAAGAATGAAATTGTCTTCTTCATGGAATGCCTTAGCATTAACTGAGCCCTCAAAGACTCGATCTGGGCACAATAAATGCTTACAGTGATACAGTCTTTCAAAAAAGATTACAAACAGAAGAATATATCAGAATGATGGGAATTATGAACAGCCAAGACATTTTTGTAAACATAACAAAAGCGTAATACATGTATAGGCTATAGCTATCAGCTGTGAAAACCAGCACTCAAAATAAAATCCTATTAAGAAATTAATACACTCGCTTTGGATTGAGGCCAATTGATGGTTTAATAGAAAACAGTACTAAACAAATACGAAGCAATTAGTTGATCCATAAACACACACAGTTTGTTGAAAGAAGTTATATTTATCCTGAACAAAATTAATGCGTTTTCGTGGGATGAAGATTGAGGAATTGTGCAATTTACATGTATAATATCGCTTTTGGTAAATTCCCAGTGGCCAAAGTTACTCAACAGCGTCCTTTTCTAAGTTGGTTTCTTGCCAACAGGCACTTCAATACTTGGCAACTCAACACGTTCATATGGCCGCTATCCTTTCGAGTTTCTTTAGAATTTGTTGAGAAGATTAATTTCTTATTTCGACAGGATGCTTTTTTCATCATTGATAATTGACCTATTACTGGCCGTACGCCAGACATCGTGGCCTACGCTTACTTATTCACAGTTCCTAAAGATGAATTCACACAGGCATATATACCTGGACGGGTATTAACAAAACTTTCCACAAGCGTTTTTAGTCAAACTTTCAGCGAACAATGCGTATAAACACAAAAAAAACCTTTACAGCATTTCGACTTTGTTGACTAAAAAAAACAATAATATTCAAACTGATTTGAAAAGAGGGAAACTCGCTATTTTTAACGTTAATTATACAGATTGTCTTTTTGATATATAGCTAGCTACTTTTGAAGTGTCCTCGATGAATGAAACGCATACTATATTTCAATTCGTATTGACATATGCCCTTGTTACGTGACAGCAAAAATATATCCCCGCTACTATCGAATAGTTGTTTATAGAAACATTGCTTTTGTATAGCTACTTCAGAGAGATATGTGAAGCAATAGCATATATGTTTGGTTATGCGAAGTAACCTATAGAAAAGCGGAACTCAACGCACGCATTTTGTGCTTTGTTTTGCTTTGATATACGTGATATAGCTATATGAAAAGGGAAAACACGTCCCTAAAAGTTCGCTTTCGGTAGAAAGGGTAATTACACAGTTTGCTATCGGAAGCTTCATGGGTGGCAGTATATAGCCTTTATATATATCACAAAGATAATTGCTTGTATATTTTATATGATAGCCAATCACTTTTAATCCATTGAGTTTCAGCCGAATGCGCGTATTAAACGCATTGACCAAGTCAGTTGAGCTGGTTTGGACCACAATAAGGACCTGTTTGAGATCAATTAATATTTCGGCGGAAAATAACAAGTGAAAAATTGCTGAAGTTTTTCATTTTCTGCTAAAGCATGTTAAAATTATATCGTTTTTGATGTCTTTTCCCTAGAAGTCAGCTTTGCAATCACACATCTGAAAATATCGTTCAAAAATATATTTACATTTATACACGGCGAAAAATATATAAATATACATTTATCGTGCCAAATTTTCTTCTATGGTATGTGTTACTACAAAAGGACTGTGTACAGTGTTACTTGTTTATAGTTTATGGAAGTATATGTATAAATCATGTCAGAAATGCTGGGAAAACAAACAAAAAAAAAAAAGATCTTAAAATTATTGTTTTACTGAAAGGTAGATTTGGCAGGTAGATTTCAGTTCAGGATGCAAATAAAATCCATTGCAATATTACTTAATTGAGGAAGGAAAAATTTTTGATATACATGAATATATTAAAAAAGATTCAGTTGGCAAGAACCGCATGCAACAATTAAATCAGTAGCCTTTTTTAAACACAAGTCCACGGCCGCGGATTTCGAATCATTGCGAGTCGTTCACTTTCCAAACTAACTTACATGTAGATTTTTTGTCATTTGATAAAGGTGGCATATGTTTTTCAAGATATATTCATTAAAATTTTCTTCAGATAAAATCTTTAATTTCAGTTATTTCCTCTCACGAGTCATGCAAAGATTATATAAGCATTTAGTTGATGTTGAAAGTAAGATCTATATCTGCATGTATAAATATACTTTTTGTGATCAATTCAAAATCTAGATGAAACAAAACATCTCATCATCAAAAATCATCATGATAAATTATTTGCGCAAGATTTCGATAATTTCCGAAGGACTGATGCTTGTAAACTCAATTTCATAATACCTATATTCAAGTTACTGCCATGCGAAATAATTTCGGAACTGATTTTAAGTCTATTAGACGAACCAAATGTTTGACAGTTTCGTTCAGGAAGAGTTCATCAAAAGATTATCTATATACTTAATGCATTTTACCTCGCCCAACAATGTTCCATAACTTTGTCTCAAGAGGGATTTTATAACTCCATAGCCTTATAAAGTCAATCTGAAGTATTTTAAACAACACAGGACACAGTCTGTGACAGCCACAGCATTCGCGTTTTACAAGTAGACATTTTATTGCATATTATTGAGCAATTTCCATCTGAGATAATCATTTACGATGTTGATTAAACGAGATGCCTTTGTTTCAAGTTCTATAGGTCGAGAGCTTCTATTTAATAATACACGGAGACATTTAACATTTCGTAATCATTGTGTTTTTTTTTCTCGTTATCACAAACAACGCAAGATCAGTCTGAATTAAATGTTTCTTTTTAAAAACCTAATGTACACCGTTCAACTCACAACAGTTCCCCGTTGTCGCAAGAAAATTACAATCATTTTCAAAATATCGTCAAGCGATAATGAGCAAGCCCAGAAACCCGCAAACCAGCGTGTAGACTAAGTGGGGGAAACACAATTTAACAAAACCACATCGTCATCGTATTTGTATTAAGTCGCTTTGAAGTTCGTCCACGTGTGACGTGAGAAGCATTTCACTCAGTTCCCTGTGAAATTCATATTAATATTCTGATATTGCGGTGTGTCTACGATTGAAAAAGCACGCTTTGTTGCTCGCCAAATTCAAAGCAAACCTGTAGCAGTGAATCCTATATTACGCATCAGCGTCATCGACAAAAAAAGCAGTCCTGTTGAAAAGCGAACACGAGAAACGACGAAAACCGATCTTTCGACGCCATTTTCGCGCGAGGCCATCAACCTCGGACATATTCCCTCCGAGTGACATCTACGGAATTGGCAAATTTCATTGAATTTTAACATGCTGCTGACTTAAATGAGCTGTTGACGAGATACGATCTAAACCTTTTTAGCCGCGACTACCGGAAACATCATCTCTGCATACCAACACTTCCTGTGATAAAGAAATGCTCTTTTGCTAGCGTTTTATTCGCTCTTAGCTTACATCATTAAAAGATTCCCACAAGTGGAGTAAAGCAGAACAGCAAACCGATGCGCAAAGTCGCGAATGAGGAAAGAAAACTTTGACTTTGTACAAGTGGGCGAACGAATCTCATGTTATACGGTGTTAATAGGGTGCTGTATTTAGACCTTTGAATGGGGGCATCATCCTGAACATTTCACAAGATTATATTTTTTGACCTACTGTGATTACCTCAATTTCAACTGTTTGGAAAATTCGCTTTCGGAAGTCGGTTGGGCATAAGACCTTTCGGGTGTCAAAGCGCCACTCTTATGTCGAGGCAGTGTGCGACGTGAAGGTTTGAATCGTGGCACAAGACAGGCATTTGTTATTAAAGGAACCTAGGAATACAAAGAGCGAACGAGGTTTTACAAACGATTCGTCGGAAGCTTTGTGTAAACTCAGGAAGGAAAGCGAGAGACGACAAACCCACCATTAATACGTTGACATTTTCTATAATCACAGACACATTTAGCAGTACATGGGCCGAAGATAACACGTCAGATTTCGCGGACAAATTTACGGTGACTTTTAACGAAATATACTCGCTCAAATAATATATATGGCCTCAAGGTTCGACGCACAATCGAAAGGCTGGCGAACGTATTCAAAACCGATCGGTTCTCTCAAGTCCTACGGCCCGAAATTCGGTCGATATGGGGAACAAGTGAAAACATTGACAGAAGATGACGAATGTATATATTACCCAACGGTTTATGGCGAGGGGGATAAACTGAAGATTGTTAGCAATCCGGGTTACGGGGCGTACGGCAAATCCGAATATAAAACAAAAGACGCACAATTCAAGGCGACCAAATTTGACGCGTACGATCCAACAGACGATGGCATCTATGAAGTGCTTAGCGGTAAGGTGGCTCAACCGACATCGGCTCAACAATGCCGTTCGCAATTCGGCAACCGAAATAATCATCACACTGCGGCTGTCCCGAGAAGCGTGCTTCGTGCTTTGAACAACGATTTCGCGCATAACACGGCCCGAGACGTGTTGACATTTGAACCGACCGGCTGTCGGTTTCCATCGCCCGATCTAGCGAGTAATAACAACGATCTTAAAAAGGCCAAAATTGTGGGCCATCATGACTTTGTTTCGCCACAATCCGAGCACAGCTTGAACGCGAAGGAGGACAGCGAAGAGCTATTAGATTATTGTACTTGCATGTGCATCGTCAAAGGAACCTTTTATCATTTCACAAAAGACAGCGATAGCGAAGGACATCTCGCTGATCAACCATGTTCGTGTGCTGGGCCATTGAGTCAGTGCCTACCACGCTGGGGTTGCCTCGGAGTTTTTGCTCTAATTTTCCCGTGTTTATGGTGTTATCTACCTCTCAAAGGTTGCAAAAAGCTCACCGAGTTATCGGATTGTTCCGATACTAAACCGCTCGAGAAGAAGCCTATCAAATAAGCAATGTAATGTCATCTTAAATGAAGATTCCGGCTGTTTGAACTCTAAATTGGACCAACATGAAAGGACATTCTCTTTGTAAATAACTTGCTCAGCGTATAGACTCGCTCGACTGCGTCGTTTCAAAAACAAGCTCCGTAAAGGTCGCTTCGTATAACAAAAGCTATCTACAAAAGCCTAAAAATGCCATAAAAAAGTTTATTTCAATGAAATAAAACGATAAATTTCCAATCGAACTAGATTGTAATCGAAAATAATGAGACCAGACTATTTAAGTTTATGTTAAAACGTTTGAAGTAAGTTAAAGGACTAATGAATATATATATATATACATTCGGGCTTGAAATAAACGTGTATTTAACTAGAAAGTGTGTAGTTACGTTCAATGAGGTATTAACAAGGCGCGCTATACTAAATTATCACAACGCTATAGGAAATTTCTGTGTATATATTTGACACGCGGTTAATATTTGTAAAGTATACATGCATGTGTTGTAAAATATTTTGACTGCCGTGTACATAAATGTTAAATAGTTTATATAGTGTCTGTGATACTGCTGATGTATATAAATAAATACAGTTCCATTTGAGGAGTAATACAATCCTATTTCAAACTCTGTGTGTATATCATGTTTCTCGTTATCAAAGCATGCGTCGAAATATATTTTCTCCAAGACTGATTCGCAAAGATTTAAAGCGCTTCTTCGGGTAAATGAAATGGAATCGTTTGAAGTATCTATTTGATACGAAGAACAGGCAGGAATCCTATCCAAAAGGGCATAACATGTAATGTTACGAAATAACTGCATTCTTAAAGCTTGTTATGAACATATTTCATCCATCGTTTACGGCCTAGGGTATAGATGCAAGTTGTCATAGTACGCACGCGTTGAGCTCGTTAAAATCTATAATTTACGTTCTGTCAACTTTTTCCTGTTTTAGCAGACCTTGTGTTTACAAAAGACACACTAAAGCACACAAATCCTTATTAATTTTTCTCGAAAGGGCTAAGAAAAGCCGCCAGGTCAACATTTCTAAGCTCTCAACGACGAAATGAAGGTGTATGTAGATGGCTTTTGGTCGCGAGCCAGTTGTCTGCGGGATTTGTGCGGATACTGAATTGATTTCCTCATTTACTTCGCGCGAGAAATTCCGCCGAGTTCGAAGTGAAACGAAAAAAAATAGCCGTGAGCAACAACGGTCGAATAGGAAGGGCTTTCAAACAGTGAAAATATGCTGGTGTAAAGAATTCTGATTTATAGTCATTATTATCCCGGAGTGAATCCCGTTCCGTTGATAAACACACAGACGTTAAGTATATATATACATTGCCTGTGGGCTTTTCAGCGAAGCTTTACAACAAATTGCTAGCAACGAACGGAAATCATAATCGCAGATATTTTTGTGTTATTATTTTCAACGTGTAATATCCCCCAGAATATGGCATAGTTAAGCTGGTGTATATATATGGTTATAAGCCCTCGATTTGCGTACTAAATTAATATTAAATTGGTGAAGCAATATCGGAGCATGTGCATGCGTTCGTAGGTGATGTGATGTGACATACGTGTAGCCTACGAACATTCTTATTCAGTCGAGTAACCTTAAGTGGGAAGAGAGTTTCATAAAACACAAAATAAGTTTCAGATAACACATAAAATCTAGAACAAAAAATTGTCAATTCTCGCTAGCTAAGATTGTTGTTGTTAGCCGGGGGAAATTTTAACTCCCCAAGTCAGTAGGAAACCTCAACCTGAAAATATACTGTCTTTTGCATGGTTAGGATTTAGGTCGCGACCAGCTCTCTGACTGGTCATGTTAGTGTGTGTCGTGAAATTAATAGGAATCTTTGCTGTTGTCGCTATGTACATTTCAAGTCAGCCATTTTAACCGTTTAAACTTTGCGCGTTCCACTATGTTCTGTAGTGTCAAACACCTTTGTCGATGTCGTACAGTTAGAGCTATAATCTCTCCTGTTACAGCGGTTTCGAATTCAATATGGTTTATGTCACTCCCTGACTCTGACTGGATTAATCCTCGCAATGTAATTGAAAATCTACTCGAATTCCAACGCCAAACGGCCAGTACACTTGTTTGTGCTAAAAATCTTAGTTTTTTTAAAGCTGATAACTCTATTATGTCAGCCAGGGTTATCTTTAATTGCTCTAGTGTCACGAGAATTGCGCACGGAGTTCATACCTGTGGTGATTTGTGAATCGACGCAAGTTTTAAACGAATAGCATGGCGCGATTAAGACGAAACTATACAAAAAGAAGACACAATGCATTTTAGAGCTAAGCATTGTCCTGCAATCAGTATAAATACTAGGAATTAGGAGACTGAAATTACGAAGTAAGCTCATGTACTTGTACGTAATAGTCAAACCACGTTTTTTGTGGTATACTGGTCGGCGTTTAAAAGACTATAGAATATTTGCTTTGGAACAAAATGGTTTGTTGACTGAACTTGCTATTAATATACTCATTTTGATAAGCGCGCAATGAACATCTAAACGATTTTTCATAATCTAAGATTTCTTTTCTTAAGACAAATAGCCGCGATTGTGTTCCTGGGCGAACGGGATTAAACGAAAACTAATCTCGCTACATAACACAACACAACACAAAACAACAGAGTTTTGATAAAGATATTAAACAAGTACATTCTACGACAAAAGGAATTTCCTGGAATATGCTGGACTAAATCGCGGTAACCACGCTATAATCACGTCTGCGTCATATCTTCTGGCAGAGGCATCGCGAAGGAAATGCATCAAATCCTGTTCATAATAACATTTCCCCTCACAGCTTCACAGCCCAGTTTCTGTCAAGCCATGGGATACCTCACATGTTTATATAGGCTGTTATTGTTCCTATATATCAAATCATATACCCTGCGAATTTTCAATGTTTCCATAATATTGTTTGTCGTGGCAGGCTGGCCGCTTGGGAACGGAACACGTATTGAATGTATAGATACCCTGTCGAGAATTATAACATCTTACAAGATATGCATATTTGCTTGCGGCAAAGTTTATACACTTTCATATAATGACAGTTTCCATATCCTTTTGCGGATGTTATTCCATTTACCAGCGCGGCGCGAATGAGCCTCACTTGGTGCATGTGTGCTTTTGGGCTCCTCAAGAGCCGGGTAAGATTTAGACCCGAAGGTAAATGACTCGGAATTTGATGAGAGTCAGCAAGCGAGAGTTTGTATGAGAGATTTATCAACTACCTTGAATTAGTTGAACGTTGGCAAGAGACTAGAGTTCTAGGCAAAGGCGACAATCGAATTCCACCAACTCTTTTGGCTATCGATCATGACAAGAGAAACCTTTTCTAGAGAAACCTTTATTGTTTGATCAAGCGAGAACAAGAGTTGCATGAGAGTTTACAAGCCGGAGTTAACTAACATGCATCAACTATCATTGCTTGATCAAACGAGAACAAGAGTTGCATGAGAGTTGACAAGCAAAAGCTTACATGAGAGTTTCATCAACCTATATTGCTTGATAAACGAGAATAAGTTTAATATTTAAGCATAATATTGACAGTTCAGTGACAAGCTAGAGATTATAATGGAAAGAGTTGAAAGACTGAACAAGACTGAGTTGTGCGAGAGTTGACAAGCGAGATTCAATATCATGACATGTTGACTTTGCCACAACTGCCCTTCTCCAGTGTGACCAGCTCTTGATTAAATTCTTACCATTTTTACATGTGGTGGATGGTTTGTAAGAGGTGACAAATGCATATTGGAAAAAAAGACTTCTCATTTAATCTCCGGAAAATCGACACAATTTTCACAGCTTTTATTTGCTTGTATTCCGGCCAGAAGTAGCTTCAAGCTGGTTTAACATCCAATAAACAAGAGTATTTTCAGATATTTGACCGCATGAAAGTTTCTGCGCCAAACTTCTTGTTTACGGGCTTAAAAAAGAGCTCCAACGGTACTTCAAATTCAAGGTTATAAACACGGCCTTGCCCTTGGGAACTTGATTGCCGCGCATGCGTTGTACGGTTCACTGATTCAGGTAATATTGATGATAAATAAACAGACTTCGTGTAGTCAATCATTCCTTAGACTGACATCAAAAACACTAAACTTTACCAGAGAAGCAATATAGGAATATATGATGCACTTGCTGTTAGTTTCATGCGAAACTTTGAAACTATATTCGACTATTTCTGTTTTCCCAAACCAAATTTAAATGAATGATGATAGCAAAGTTTGTTCAGAATAAACTATAAACGATTAAGTGACTTCTAAATATATCCTCACACAAACGTGACACATGGATAAACGAACATTAAATTGATGTTAATGCAGCGAAATTGCGCAATATATTATAGATGCCCCTGCTCGCTGTGAAATCATAACATTCACTGAACCATGCTCCTTCATTTGGGTAACGACCTCTAATGACCTAATTAGACAAGTAATCACCAATTATCGTCCAAATAATTCGGATCGCTTGTAATAAATGACAGAGATTATCGAAATCAGGAATAGGGAGAAAGCTTGAATTGCATGTCTATTCACACTGACTGTTGAATATACGATTAGTGTCTGTGTACCAGAGCTCAAAGTGGAGAACACTGAGGCTCACAATAATGAGTTGAAGGACACTCGCTTTGATGAAGTTGACGATCTATATATTAAAGTGATCAAATGTTTACTGCCTTATTTAGGTAAATTACCTTCGTTCATTATTCCTGTAATGCAACACTTCGCCACATCATTAAACTGACTGAGAGGCATAATATGCTCCGGAAATTAAAGACAGCCTTACTGCGCATCATGCACACTCTTGAATGGTATTTACCATGTGCAATATTACTCTTATTCTGCATCTAAAGTGTTGTTTATCGTAGTAGGTCAATATTCAGCCATAGATTTTAATCTTGCGGTCAAAGACTAACCCAAAGATGTATTTCAAAGCGACCCGAATATTTCTAGCTTGTTGCTATTCTCATCCAACTAGAACTGAAGTTGGTTTGATTTCTTTAAAAATTCAAAATGATAGTTTATATAAAGTGGAGAAAAAGAAAAATCGAGCTCCCATTTTAACTTACTTCACTTTACAGACTATATATACAACGATATATTTACAATTATACGTCTGCAGGTTTAAAATCCAACGCACAAACCCGTACAAATCGCACAAACCGTACAAACAACGCACAAATCAATGCACCCAAATATTTCTGTTTAACGTTAGGCAATTTGCGTCAGTCTAGACATTGTTCCTAGAACATATACGAGTAATTAAACTTGGAATGGGGTAACATTATCTGCAAGAATCTCTGTGTTGAAAAATGCATTCAGCATGCTTTGCAGGTTTCTAGGTCCACGCGCAAGATAAGACCTCGACCGAAATACCTAAACTTTTTTATTTCCCTATGACAGATGTGACTAAATAGATAATTTCTTGACCAAAACATCGGCAGTATTTATATATACTTTGAACTAAAATGGATAAATTACCCCCAGAAGACATTTGGTGCAGTAAAAAATGTTTCCCATCATCGACAAATTGTGGGTGTAAATTTAAAGGCGACATTTTTTTAAAATAGAGTTTTTAGTTGTTTGCATGTTAAAACGTTTATAATTTAAAT